ATATATAAATAATGTCCAGAGCACACAAGCTTTCTTCTGCACCTTACACACTTAGTTTCTATACTTTAGTAAATGTATTATTTTAACAAACAGAGTTTTCTTTTTCAAAATGACCAGAAGCAGTCAAGGAGCAGAGAGGACTTCGGTGTTATTGTGTTTTCATGTTTGTGTGTTGTAGGTCTGTGCTGCATGATAGCCGTCTCCTGGTACGCCTACAGAGTCGTGCAGGACTTCCACAACCCGTTCTTTGGTGGAGTGAAGTGAGTCGACACAAAACACGCATCGAGAGTTCAGACCGACACAGGGACATGTGTAGTTGTGTGTCTGCAGGTTGTGTGTTAACAGTGTGTTGTGTGTTGTGTGTTAACAGTGTGTTGTGTGTTAACAGTGTGTTGTGTGTTGTCTCACAGTGTGTTGTGTGTTGTGTGTTAACAGTGTGTTGTGTGTTAACAGTGTGTTGTGTGTTGTCTCACAGTGTGTTGTGTGGTAACAGTTGTTTGCGTGTTGTGTGTTAGCAGTGTGTGTGTGTGTGTGTGTTGTGTGGTAACAGTTGTTTGTTTGCAGTGTGTGTGTGTGTGTTGTGTGGTAACAGTTGTTTGTGTGTTGTGTGTCTTCAGGTTCGAGCTGAGTACTGGTCTCTACCTGGGATGGGGCGGAGCCTGTCTGTCCATACTGGGCGGAGGTTTCCTCTGCTCCGCCTGCAAGAGAGCGAGACCTGACGGAAAGAAAAGGTACGAACACGCCTGAGTTCTTCTCTCTTTAAACGGTAACGTGTGAGCAAGTCTCTTGTTACATCACTGATGGGTGTGGTCAGAGGAGTTTCACCTGTAACCACACCCATCAGTGATGTCACAGCGTCCTGGAGTACACCTGTACATCACCGCAGCCAGGTGGGAAGTTTAACCAGCGGAGGTCAGCAAAGAAAAGACTTAAAGGAGGTCTAAAGAGCCGCTCAAATGGTTTCAGAGGAAAATACTTTTTCTCTGATTTATATTTCTAATAGAATAATACATGTTTTAAATTTTGAATTGTATAATTTGTTATTCATACATATTTTTTAAATAATAAGGGATTTGTCATCAGCGTCGACTGTGTTTGTGTAATTACTCTCACAGCCAGAGGGGGCGACAAATCCTCCTCTCTGCATTTTCATACAAAGAAAAAGAAACGTCCAAAGCCTGTCTGGGATGTTCTGCCATTTAAACCGATTCCTTTCACGTCTCTGACTCCATCTGACTTCCTGTCTCTTGTTTTGCAGCGGTTTCTATGGAAACAAGCCCCCGAGGGTCTACACGGCTACCGCCAAGTCGGATCCAGATTCAGCCAGAGCCTACGTCTGAACGCACATCCGGACACTTTGAGGACGTTGTTCTGTCTCACATTCGCTTCCTGACGTCCTGATTCCAGCAAACTACTATAACAAAGTTTAACCCTAAAAATAAGGAGACCAGCTGTCTGTCCCCAAATGGGAGGACAGTCCCCACGAAGTGATGATTACTGAAAACAAACATGTCTGCTGACATAGAATATGGACATGTAGTATAATGTCTCTTTAAATGTGGACATGTAGTATAATGTCTCTAATATGGACATGTAGTTATTTTTCTGTCCTTTTGAAATATTTGCTTATTTTTTTAAAGAGTTTTTTGTGAAATCTAAATCTAGAGAACACAAACATGGTGGTTAGTGATTCTGTAATTCTGTGTGGAGTTTATTATTATCGAAATAAAGTTTTTATGAAACCTAACAATTAGGTTTTTGGTGTTTTTTGGATGTTTTTTTAAAAGTGCCTGATGATGAAATTCATGTTATTCATAATTTGATTTATATTAAATACACTTTTGGTCATTTTAAGCCTCTAACACGAAGGAACAATAAACGTCTTTATAGAAAACATTAATAAACACTTTAAAATGTCCTCATAACTGGTTACAACTGCATATTAGTGTGTTTTCAATAAATGATCATGAATGCTGAATAAAAGAGGCTTAAAGTTCATCCCACACACGTTTACATACTGTGTGTTATCTCCTGTGTGTGTGTGTGTGAGTGTTTGTGTGTGTGTGTGTGTG